TGGAGAATGGTGACACACAAAGACAGCATTGTGACCCCTCACTCTGCCACGCTCCACTCTCCCTCCGCTCTCCTGCTTCCCCACAACATCTGCAGTGGAGAGCACGCCCAGCTTGTCATGTGACCCGGCCGGCTGTCACTGTGGCTGTTGTTTGGCCAAAGAAAGGTGGGCCTGTGAGGCCAGCGGAGCCTCACAGGCAGCTGCGTCGCCCAGACGGGCAGGGTCCTGCAGCATGCGCCCAGTGCCCTCCCCCACCCAGCCCGTGCTGTGACTCCATCGCCGATCCTCTGCATATCTGTTGATCTCTGCTTATTCTCTCAGGTGACAGCATGAAGTGAAAATGTTCTTCTCAGGGGTAGGGTGATGGGGGGGGTCAACAAACCCGTGTCTCCCAGTTAGGAGCTCATGGGTCTAACTGGATCCTGAGATAAAATCTCTCCAGCTGAAGGGGGTGGTAGCGATATGGAGTCACAGTGGGTATGGTGCTTATGAGACTGAAACTCGTGACATTCTCCTAAATATCATGAGTGTTAAAAAGGAGAAGCTGGAGTGTGGCATAGACATGCTCCTCATCCTGCAGCCTGCACACGCCTCTGGGCACCTTATACTACATACAGTGAGGATCAGAGATCAGGGGCAGATATTGTCTCTGCCGCAATTGGGCTTAAGGGTCTTGCTCAAGGGCCCAATGGTGGCATCATTCTGCCAGTCATGAGTTTTGTCAGTGTCCTTCTGATAACAGAGTCCTAACCCATAGAGGCACATACCTGCCCCTAGTGGGACTGCACAGACATTCTGCACATATGATTCCCCTGTTTGTCACTCATTGGGCTCTATTTTCCACCTGCGCAAAGCCTGAGGCAAAGTGGTTTTGCTATTTTCGCACCAGCGCTCCTTTTCCCGCCATGCGCACACAACATCAAAATAGTAAATGATTTTGCACCAGCTTTCCGCTCTTAAGAGTGGTGTTTATAAAATGAGACGTGGCCAGGCGCACTGTCATCGTGATGCTATTTTAAGGCAGTGCAATGTCATTGTGCTTTCGACCGACAAAAACCTCGTCTAAAGTCAGTTGTGCATTACTAAACGTGCGGGTGCACGACAGCTCGTTATTGAGACAGTTACGCGCTCGTAGTGCACTAATGGCACCAATAGTTTTTTGTTATTTTATTTATATACGTTTTATTATAGAATACAACTGGTCCTTTCACGTAATCATACTGCTCAGTAAGTCACCAAAAGAAAAACAATTAAGTAAAGAACAAATTGTATCATTAAAAAAAACTTTTGACTTCATTATAAGAATTAAGCACGTACTGTAATTGAAAGGACATTTGGATTGCAAAAATGCGTTTCAGATATTTAGATTAGTCAGGTGGAATATTACAACGCAGCTCTCAGACGGTCGCGGCATTCTTTTATAGTATGTTGTATGTTGCGTAACATGCCATGCGTGATGAATGCCTGTTGGACATAAATGAGGACCCATTAGAGGACTTTAGAAGGCGTGATGCTTAACTGTATGTGCTGATGCCAACAAAACAGTGCACGTCAGCAGCAGCGCGGGCAAGGAGGGATCAGCTGGCAGAACAGCTGAATCGTGGGTAGCTTTGTAAGGAATCTAAATTGTTAGAGTTGAAACAGCCCTACTGCCTTTTATTTGATCACTTTACAACATACAAGCATAATTTAGTCCCGTTCCCAACCACTGCTCTCGTTCAGCAGCGACCTCCCCCCTTCTAACATCGTTATAGCACTATCGGTACTGCACGGGTGATCTAATGATGCAAGAAAACGAGGCCACACTCCATGCTACCTCATTCCACGTCTGCTTCACCATGAACGGCTTAGGTAGAACCGTGCTGCTCCAGTTCGATGATGTGCTCGTGCATTTTCACGTCCGTTTACTCCGCCGAAAACCAATCTGACTTGCCGGGCAAATGCGCCATTGTAATAGCAATCCGCCGTAGATCACGTGTCGCTGCCTTTTAAAGGTGAGGTGCCATTCCGATTGCTTTATTGCTTGTTATGACCAAAACACGCCTCTGAATAAATAGGGGAGTTAAGACAACCTTTTTCTGCCAAAGTCCGAAGTCTGGTTTTTCTGCCGTCGAAATGATTTGGACGCGCCCATAACTGTTAGTTCCGTTTTGCGTCTATTGTTTTTTGCCCCAGATTTGTATTGACCCCAAATCAGACTCTATGCTAGAGGGATAAGTGGTTAAATAGCTTAAGCTATTACTGATAGTCTATAAGCCCCTTCCCCACTCACCATGACTGTCCGATTTTTAAAAATTATGTTCACTTGGGTCGTTCGCTTGCTATTTGACCCACCCGCAGCACTCCCTCGTTAGACCATTTCACATATGCTAGAAGTACTCACTCCAAAGCACACTTCCTAATTTATTAGGAATTCATTGGTAATTATTACTCAGTTCAGGATTCACATTGGTCTAAAGAAATGTGTCGGCCAGTATGGGAGGACTTATTAGCCTGAGGGCACTTCTGTTCCCAGAATCCTCCCCCAGCTGCAAAGACGACTAAGCGTGGTTGTAATAGATAGATCCCCAACTGCTTTTAGTGAAGGCAGAGGGTATTAATATAGCAACATTAATAAGTAGAGGTAGCATACAGGCAGTATTCCTAGCAGGGAGGGTTTGACTGTCTCGTGGGACAGTTGAGGCTGAGGATCAGCGTCAGGAGGCTTTCTGATGTCGTCCCTCCTGGATTCGTTTTACATGCTTCTGGCTGCGTCTGTCCTGAATGTGAACCTTCCCTCAGCTGCATTTCCCTGGCTGGGCTAATAGGGCTTCCGACTGTAGGGGCTTTACAGGCCCGTCAATGGTCACCATTGTTCCAGTGTCCCCCTCCGACAGCTCAACAATGTCTGTCGCAGATAAAATTTTAGTGCTGGAGGTAATATCTAGAATGCTCCGGTGGGATGCTGGCAACTGTAGAACACTCAGACATCACCCCTCCCATCCAGCCACCCTTCCTCCTCATCATCCTCCCCATGGGCCATCACAAGCAAAACCACAGCCTTCAAACTGTGTCCACTTTCGCTGATGGAAAATGCCCGCCCCCTCCCCTCAGAGACTGGCCCACGATGCACTCTCCACAAGCACTCCTGTTTTATAGCTTTTAAATTACAGCTCTTAAAGGGCTCCGGCGGGGGGTCTGCTCCGGCTGGCAGGGAGCCGCTCTGCAGTCAGTCCCCCCATGGGGGCTGGCCCCACTCGCTCCAGTCAGCATGATAGAACCAAGGTCTGCACTGACCTGCAGGAGGTGAGTCATCAAAACAAAGGGAGGCAGGCGTGAGAGAAATATGTACGTTGTCCGTCTAGAATGAACTGCTTACAGCTTTCAAAGCAGGTGCTGTCTGTCATAAACAAGGCATTATTTTACACCATATGGGCTTAAACTATGTCAACACACCTTATGCCCGGCGACACTGAGATACTGTATCATTTAATCGTTTTCGTGGTTGGCACACCAAGGGATTTCACTGGTTAAGTACGTTGACTAGAGGAAAAGGGGAATCCCCAGCCTCAGGTTTGACAACGTTCATGCATTACCTACAGTGCATTTTTCTGAATATGTCATGTTGTACGGAGAGAAAATCATAGCTGTGCCACCGTTTCCTGACTTGTAGAAACATTGTTTTGTAATTTCTAAAGACTCATGACAAGCTCAAAAGGGAACAATGTTTAAATAATTGTGTTTTGTGTCTCAGTGTTAAAGGGGTGTCAGTCTAAGGCTATAGATGGGATAATCAGTAAGACACTGATATTGTACTCATCTCTGTTGCTAATGTAAAATGTGTGTTAAATTGGTTAACAATGGAAGGGACTGTCTGAATTAAGTAATATGTTACTAATTACATTAACTGACATGGGTAGAAAAAGCCAGAGTATTTTCTGCTTGTATTTTGAAAGCAAGTTGTTTCTCTGCATCCGGTCTGTGGCATTAATAATGCTTTAATAACCTGCAGATCATTAACTTAAGCCACCTATCTGTCAGTCACCCCACGTAATGTTTACATATATGGCTGCATTTTATTGCATTCATTCAAGTCAGCCTTGGACTTGATATGATGGTGTTCCAAGCTGCAGGCAGCCTTTAATTAAAAACAATAAAAGATAAAATAAATAGGAAGGAAATTGGAGGCAACAGGGAACATGATAGTTGAGTATGTGAACTTGTATGCACAAGTCAGTAGGCCTTCGTGTCGAGCAGTCAGTTTTAGCCCAGAGCACTGGACCTGAATGGGCTCGGGATAAAATAGCAGTTATTTAAGCACACTTCCTGTGAGTTCCTACAAAGGTGCATAACCAGTGTCAAAGGTTCGCTTGTAGACGTCAGGCAACTGAGTCAAAACACGAGGATAAAGAAGCCGCAATCTGAATCAGCCTGCTACCACTGCGCTCTCTTTAAATTAAACAACACTCATTCATGCCGGGCCTCAAGGTGATTTGCATGGGGACAAAGGCAAACGGCCGGCTCTCCAAAGGACAGCATGGAGCAACGTAAGACGAACGGAGGTGTTTGCTCACGTCGCTCTCAGAGGTGAGTGGGAGGCGCTTGACTGTCTGCAGCATCTGCGAACACGTGCTGATTCATGCTGACCTGCAGCTCGTGGAGACTTTGTATGCTTCTCAGTCCTGCTGTTTATTTTGGGGGTGTTTATTTAAGTCCCATGTCTATTTGCAGAACTATTTTTTTACTGATTTTTTTTTTTTACTTATATCCATGTCTTAATGGAACTGCGTTTGGCCATATCATCCTTCCAGGTACCCAAAAAAACTACAACGTTACCAGTACCAGGCATATTATAAATTCCATAATAATCCAATTTTAACAGGTTATGAACGTTTAATTGGATGGGACTTTGAGGGGGCTGTGTTTTAATGAGATGGTCAAATTAGTTAACCGGCGTATAAATGACATAAAACAATTGAGCAAATTCTCACTTTGGTATATGACCAAAAGCCGGGATCCGCCTTAAATCTGAAAATGTTGTGTGGGATTTCCTCTCAGCAACTTTAGCTTCTGCGGTTCGGGGTTGCCGCCAACACTCAGGCAGCGGCTCGCCCAACCCCCCTTCCGCAGATCTGCAGGAGGGGGGAACCCTGAACCCGCACCGCGAATCTCCCACATAGCAGCCGGCTTGCAGGATAAGCTGGAGCGGCGCTATCTGCTGCCGGCCTTGGGTGCCTACAATGCCGTATAAATTTAAACGATCGAGGTGTTGAATAGGTTCTCAGAAGAAAGCAAACATGGAACAGGGGAACTGCAGAGACCTGTTTCCTGATTCCCGAAGACAAAGAGCTCTCTGTGGTGGAAGGAAGGAAGGAATGTCAAGGCAGATGGTTGGTTTTTCGGAGGGGGGGAATCTAAAATTACCCCTGCTATTTTAAATGCATTGGCTATAAGTGTGTTTAATATTGGGAACAGCTTGCAGTAACTAAAAATTTTTGACACAGTAATTCCGATATTTGTTGTCTGTCAATTATTTTTGCTTGCAAAGGTAAGGTGCTGATAAGGAGTCGCAGATGGTGGAGTAACGCAGCAGAAGATGGTGTGACCGACACCATTTTTCAGCCGTAGGCGCGACTTTCGAAAGGGCTTTAAATACGGATGTGAAATTGGAGGTTTAACAAAGACGACGACAAGTCATTACGTAAACACTTTTTTATGTTGCTCCCATTTATGTAATGTTTTTGATAACCTTTTATGTGTTGAGTTCAGGGTAACCCTGCCTGCTACAAATGTTGCATCTATAACTACCCAGACAGCAATTCCCTCTGTGCCGGATCCGTTTTCGAATCACTAGATTCGCGTAGCAGTCACACTCACT